GAAGATGGGAGCTGGCTGGACTATGGAAAGAGGCCACAATGCAATTCTTTCTATTCAATTCTACAAGCATGAATGGAGTGCTCATCGTGAGCAAAAACTTTCCGAATATTTTGGGGAAATCCCTTCATTGTGCAGTCTGAGAGGTAAAGCGACTTGTACCAGGCAGAGTCCACTGGGTGTGGAACCCAGACTTTTTGACCCTAAGCACAGGCTTTGATCACGGGAACTGAGAGCCGAGGAAGTCCTCATGGATCCTCTCATGCTATCCCAGAATTTATAGATGAGGGAATTGAGACAGAAATGGGGATGAGACTTCCACAGCCTCTGCTTGTCCCAGGGGAAGAAAAATCATGAAAACACTGCTGTGTATGTCAGAGGACAGACAAGAAGGGCTCCTGGGGGACAGTCAGGAGCTCCTCTTGGCTGCTGTGGAAGGAAGGAAAGAAAGAAGGCAGGAAGTGAGACGCAAGGTAGGCAGACCCAGGGCCACCCTCCCCTCGCCCCTGGGCTCTGAACTACACACTCTTTGGATGAATTAGGCTCTGGGGCCTCAAGGATTCTAGCTTCTTCAAAGAGTTTTTCCAAGAGCCGGTAACATCATAGAAAACCAATCCCTGAAGAGAAGAGGGGACTTACTTCCGGGGACTAAGAAAGAAACTGGAGTGGAAAGGGGGTGTAGATGAAGAAAACAAGACTATCAGAGTCCAGGAGGTTGGAAAATCACCTCCCACCCCTTGCCCTTGTGTCAGTCATGGACCCAGTCTTCAGTCTGAGGCAGGTGGGTGGGAAATGAGAGACCAAGGGAAAGCTGGGCTCTTCCTCTCCTCTCCTACCTCAGCACCGGATACAATTTGTCTCAGCTAGGGTCAGGGGCCAGGAACAAATGCTGTCAGGCCAGCTGGCCAGAGAATTCCCAATTAGACTTTGTTTCTCATCCTGCAGGCCCTGGGCCCCCAATCCCGGCACCCTGGCCCAATTACTGCCCAGCAGCATTAACCCCTTGGTGCCCCAGGCCGTTAATGGAATGTTAATTGGTCTAATGGGTTTCATGTCAACAAGTCCTAATGAGCTTCTTCCTAATGAGCTTGGTATTTTTTTTCTAAGCCTGTTTGTCAACATATTGGAGTTGGGGCTCCAGACTGAGAACTTTGTGGTGCAGGGCTGCGGGGAGCTGGAGTTGAGGAGACAGAGGGAGGTGGGCACCCTTGGACTGCCCATCACATTTTCTAAAGGGGCATCCTTCCATGCTACCCAGAGCCTAGTTCATCCAAAGAGTGTTGTAGTTCAGAGCCCAGGGGCGAGGGGAGGGTGGCCCTGGGTCTGCCTACCTAGACCACCCACATGGCCTCACTGGCACCTGAGCTCTGTCAAATGGCATTTTAACTGATTTTGATGATAATATCAGTAACACAAATGACTTCTTAGATATCGTTGTGGGGTTGAGTGTTGCATTAGGTTTTTTCCCTCCTAGCTATCATACAATAAATATTTTCAGCATTAAAAAAAAAATCCTTCATCGTGAGCCTATCTTTGATGCGAAACTTCTCTGTGGTAAACTGTTCCTCATGTGCCCTCCATTTGCAATTTTGGCTGTACTCCCTCAAATGCCCGGGTATCTGGTAACAGAGCACTTGGACCTCTGGACAGAGCGGAGCAGGCTCTCAGAGTCCCTGAGTAAAACTCAGAAGCCCTGGGCCGGCTTTGCTGGAGCTCAGGCCTGCCACTCCCATCCCCCATCAAAGAAAGTACAACAAGAGCAGGTTTTCTCAGAGCTAGGGACCCCAGCTATTGCTTGTGTTCTCCCACACCCCACTGCAGAGTCCCAGCCAAGTCTAAGACAAGATGAGTCAGATCCCCAAATTCCTCTCCAGGATGGTTGCACGCGGCCCCTCAGGACATGTGTAGCAGAACGTGGGGAGTACATGTGTGGGTGAAGAAAAGAGCCAGCTTCCAGAGATGGGCACGGGGTCTTACGCAGCTGAGTTGCCCTGCGTGTCAAGTTGCTGGAGGCTTCTGTGCCTGAGTGAGCAGAGAAGGAAACTTAAGACCCTGATGAAAAAGCCTCCTGTTCTCTTGCAGGAGAAGCCCCCAGAGGGCAATGGAGCAGTGGCCTAGTGGCCTATGGTGACCTCAAGGAGGGGGAGGGGCAAGGACCATCTGGATCCTCAGAAAAGTGTTCCTGTGTCCTCTGCTGAGTGGAGTCTGGCCCCTGCTCCACAGCTGAGTGGGCTCAGAACTGAATAAAATCCCCTCAGCCTCGTGGATGGTTGTCTCTGGGCACAGACCACTCTTAACTGTCCCTCCTCGCCCCCAGACAGGGCAGCTCTCCTGCTGTTGCAAATATTTCTAGGAACAGTACCTCTGAAACGACCCTGCCTTCCATTCATTTCACAGTGAACAAAAGAATGCGAATTAACGACTCCTCTCTCTAGCCCAAATCCTCCTCATTGAGCTTTCTTTGTTTTGCCCTCACTTTGACTTTCTCATCCACAGAATGAGGTTGCCAAAAAACCCAACCCTGAGGGTTAAAGGGAACCAGTTGCCCCTGAGAGGGAAAGAAAGCCCTTCTTCCCAGACGCAGTTCCCACCCTAACTCTGCTCCCAGGCTCCCTCTTCTGGAGGCTGCTGGCACTACAGCACTACTGCCGTTCACTTCTTTCCTCCTGATGAGCACCTTAGGATCGGAGCTCTCAGGAGGAGATCCCCGCCATTCCAACACTTAGGCCCTTATCCAAAGTTACCTTCCCCACCAGAGTCCCAGGAACCATGCCTAACTTGTTCCTTAAATAGACCTATTTTCTATATTTCCTCAGGATCCAAAGAGAAATTCTACTCATTTTAATATCCCAAATATCTGAACTCTGGAAGTTTTTTCTGATGCCTCAAGAAGTCTGCAGTCCCCCTTTCCCCCTTGCAACCCTCTTCTCACCTTCCTGGGGTGTTCTCACCTTCCTGGGGTGCTGGCCACCACCAGACAAAGACCCAGCCATGAACAGAGGCCTTGATTCCCCTGCTTGAAGAGAGAAGTTCCCCTCATTGCTCCTTATGGGCCCCTTTGCAAAAGGAAATTGGATCTGGCCACCCAGCATGTGTGAGATGGGCAAGACTCTGAGTGCTTTTGTTGCAAGGATGTCCTCGTGGTCCCTCTTCTGGAGTAAGGCCAGGGCGGGGCGAACTATAGGCAATGAGGCCAATGGGAATTGTGCTGCAGTCACAGCGTTTCTAGCACAAAAAGAGCCATCACTCCCTGCACTTTCTCCACCGGTACCTACCTCCACCTCACCTTCTTTCTTGCAGGCCTGTTACCTCCCTTTCCTAACCATGCCCCTTGGAGAAAAGACCTTGCCTTATTTATCTATTCCACCACACCCCTAACACAGCTATCTGCACAGAGTTGATTCTTGATAAACATCTATTGAATGAAACATGAATTTCCAGTACTTTTTGTAGAAGGTCAGAGCTTACCTGGTACTTTGGAGACTCAGGTCCGGTCAGGGTATATCTTACTTTCCCTTCCTGACAAAGAACCAGAAGAACAAAACATACACACACATACATACACACACACACACACACACACACACACACACACACACACACACACACACACCTGGAGACCCACCCAATAGTGCAGCTCCAAAACACTATCAAATGCCCACAGAATTCAGGTATTTGAACATTTTGGAAGATTCTGGGGCAGGTCAGCCTGGAAGAAGATGGAGCCCCAGTCCCTCAGGGAGAGGGGAGTGACTGGATTCTGTACTCTCAAAGGTTTCTGGCCCATCAGCACTTTCCCAGGAGAAGGGCAGGTCCCACATTCTTAGCAATCTCCCACTCCACGATGGACAGTCAGTCCTGTATCAGGAGGCACCGAACTTGTGGTTTCCAGATCTAAATATTTCAGAGCATCTACAGTAGCTCAACAGCGCTCTGGGCATTCTGTTTCCTTGGGTGGTACTGCCAGACTGTCTCCACTTACAGCACCACATTCTGGTTTAAGAGGAAATCTTGAGGGCCCATGGGGACAGTTCTCTCACTTAGTGGTAATGGGGAAGGGATGATGGGTATGGCACGGTGGAGCAGACTCGGAGCTGGGAAATGAGATTTTGGTTCCATCCCTGCTTCACTCACAAGCTCCCACCCTGCTCCCCCCACCCCCCATCCCATCTCCCTCCCCACAAACACAAGTCATTCCTCTTGACCTCTGTCTTCTCCACTATATAAGGCAGGTAGACCCTTCAACTCTGACAGCTCTTTTGGCCCTACATTCTGATGACTCGGTATTGAACCAAGGCTAAGGAAAGTCTTCCTTAATAGCATGTGCAGGCACATCCACACGTTTGTAGTCACAAGCATGTTCCCTGCCTCCTTCCTTTCCCCAAGACCTCCAAGGAGTCACCCTCGGGCTGCCTCTGAGGATGCATGTCCTGTACCACCACTAGGGAATGTGGGGAGCTCACTTGGGAGGGGTGAACCTTGTGTCTGGGGACCTGGAGCCAGAGGGTTGGGGGTCTGAGACCTTCTCGCCCCTGTGAGTACTGTGCTGCTCCAGAGAGTCTGGGAAAGGGTGGGGCAAGGAGCACCCTTGTCACGCAAAGATGAGATGAGGCTGGGGGCCCTCCCTGAAGGAAGGTGCATATCCGAATGGCCTCCAGTCCCTCTGTGCTGCCACCAGCCCAGCCTTCTCTCCCTCCCCACCCACTCCTCACACACACACACCAGGTCAGAGCTGATACTGAACAAAGCATCGCTGCAGGGGTACAGGTTGTTTTACATATGATTTGAATATTGTTTCTTTCAAGTCAAAATAGCACAGCAAGCCCCTCCCCACCCAGGCCTCTCTCTTTAGCTGTCATTTGTTCCCCAGAAGGGCCTCCAGCCCCTGCTATATCCAGTCAACCCAGGTAGCCCAGCCTGGAAAAAATGTGGAGCTGGTTGATGTCCAAGGCTTGCCTGCACTCGGTGGTATTAACGGTGTGGCCCCTCTCTTCTGTCCACAGATCCTCGATGTGAATCAATCCCATGATGCAACATGCCTCCCCAGCCCCAGCTCTGACGATGATGGCCACGCAGAATGTCCCTCCCCCACCCTACCAGGACAGCCCACAGGTGAGTGTGCCAGGGGCCGCTGCTTCAAATGCAGGTCAAGGAGGAACGGAGGGATCGAGTGTGGTGTCCTGCAGAACTCCAGCTCAGGCTGGGACTTTCCAGGGGTGCGGGCCGACAGGCAAAGCCTGGCCTCCCACAACTGTATCCAGGCAGCACTCTGGGCTCTCCCCCTGTCGGGCCTGGGGAGGCAGAGTCCTGCACACACAGACCCCGAGGGGAGTCACTGCATTCAACCAAATACCAGGTTCAGACCCTACTTAGGTAATTCTGTCCCCAGCAACTAGGACCACAAGCCACAGCAGTGATCCTAGTCCTATCAACCCCCAACCCCACAGACATCAGATAAGCGCTGCTGAAGGCCTTTGTCATGCCTGGGGCAGAAACCACAGCTAGGGAGACCCAGGTACAAAGTGTAAGTAGAATCTGCCTTTGAAAAACTTGCTACTTAGAGACTCCTGAGTGCCAGATCTGCCTGCCTATAAAAAGTGTCTCTGTTCTCTCCAGGACTCTGCTCAGCTTCTGTGTAGAAAAAAGCTAGAATTCTTTCCCTGTGCTTCCAACCCCTCCCCTCTGGTATCCACCAGATTTCACACCTCAACTCAGACACAGCAGCCCCATGACTTCTTCTGAGATCCCCTCCCCGCACTGGCTGCCCCTCTGGCAGCAGGCACCGGTGCCCTCTCTCCAGCATCTTCTCACTGTCTACACATCGACTCCTCTCCTGCTTCTGGAAGCCTGGCCCGGCTTTTGTAGCTTGCCTTCCTCCAATGCTCAAGACCAACCCCTTCTCATCGGTGCCTCCCCGTATGCCTCCTATATGCCCTCAGTTCTTTTGAGACTGAGTCATGCGGCTGTGCTTTCACGGAAGGCTCCATCCCCTGTCCTTTCCCTTCACTCTCTCCTGTTTTCTCTACCCTGGTCTCTCCAGTCAGTATGAATTCAATAATTATTTATTGCATATCTGTGATGTGAAACGCACCCAGTAACATCATCCATTCACTCACATCCCCTGTGCAGCGAGTGTTTGCTGCGTGCCGTGTGCCAAGCCATCATTCTCACTGCTCCAGCAGTCATTCTCTGCCCTTCCCTGTCATCCCTCCCTCACTGGCATTTCAAACACAGCTACTCTCGTGAACCACATGGAAGATCTGTGCAGGACGAAAGGGGTATTAAGATGCAGATGCTGGGTGGGTAGACTGCTCACATTAGGTCCTGTAGCCCTGTCGCACCCAGCCCGGTGTAAATGTGTTGTAGCTACTCTATACATCTTTATTATCTTGTCGGATGATGTGGGGCCATTTTCCAGAGTGCCCAGCATGCAGACTACCTTTGACTCCTCTCCCCCTGAAAGTCCAAAAGCCCTGGTCATTAACCGATCTCCAAGCACGTGTCCTTTGGTCCACAGCCTGCTCCCACGTGTCAACTTCATGTTTCTTTCCCAGCTCTCCCAGCCTAACCTCATGTCCAGCGAGCCCTCAACCCACACCAGTAGCTTTCCACGAATGGCCGCAGGGTTGGACTTGGCATTGAAATGGCTCCTCTGTTGAATAGCTTCCAGACATCCAATACAATGTCAGGGCTCTTCCCTTTACAGTTCCAGATCCCAGAGATGAAGCTCAGGTGAAGCCGCCACTGATGGGGCCTTCTGCCTCCCAAGAAAAAGTGAAAAAGAGAAGGGGAAGCTAAGGGCCATAATAGGGAAGACCACCCTTCCTCAGTAGAAGCAGACCCATTCTCTCATCTGCTCAGCCAGTGTTGGGGACCCCTCAGGGGATTGATTAAGAGGCAGAAACTCAGCCCCACTTCTTTTGTAACTGGATACTCTCTCCAGGTTCCATGGTCGGAATGAGGAACAGAGATGGGGGCCCTTCTTGTATTTAGCAGGTGGTGGGTGCCAAGGCCCACACCCCCAGCCCCAAGGCTCAAGGATAGACCAGGGAAGGACCGAGAGCTCAGAGAATACTGCATTGGCATTGCTGGCGGTGGCTGCTTCCCTCCTGCCCACCCCTCCCCATTTTGCTTGCCTGGGCAGCTGGGAGAAGTTTTGGCTTGGTGGGGATTAGCAGGAGAGCTGCAGCAAGGGCCTGTGTTGTCCAAGACTGCTGATCCAGGAGCCTAATTTAATTATCAACATACAGCTGGATTAATAAATCCCAGCTGCTGAGGGGGGGTGATGGAGGTGGGGCTGCAGCCCTAAGACTCCCAACCCCTCAGAAGTTCCCCCTGAGCTACTCTAGAATTTGGGGGGAAGAAGGGAAGTTCCAGTTCTCCATCTAAGATCCCAGAGCAGAAGCCACATGTAGGGTCTGTCCCAAGGTGCTCCTTTAGGAGGATCTGCCAGAACTTCGCCATTGAAAATATTTACATCTACAGCAAAGGAATAATTTGCCCTGGGGAAGCCATCATCTACTTGTTACCCCAGAGATCTAGACAGGAAGCCTCAGTGTTTATGGTGAAGTGACAAGGCCAAGATCTTAGGGTCTTTATGGCTTCACTAAGCAATTGGGCTAAATGGCCATTGGACTTCCCAAGCTGAGTTGGTTTCCAATGAAACCATTCAGGATGGGGGGCTAAGAGAGGGAAGTCAGGGGCAGGGATGGAGTGAGAAGGACAGAGGGGGTGGGTGAGGTCCCTGGAGCAAAGGCTCTGACTCATGCAGAAAAGGCTGTTCTTTCCAGAATGTGCTGGCCTCTGAAGCTAATTGGCTTTGGGGGCTCTTCCGCCCACTCTTTAGGAGTTCTAGAAGAGACTCCCTCATAGGAATGACTCTTCCACATGCGGTCGGCTGCTGGGATTTTCTGCTGGGGAATTTGTGTGGTCTTCCCGCCTTCTTCCCCTTGTGCTTTCAAGAGACTGACCCCAGCTTCTCAGGGGAAGCCCTGCTGCACATCCCCCAATGCTCATTATCCTGGAGAACCAGCTGCTCTTTGATACTCTATGTCTTCAGAAAAGCAGGGCCTGATGGGATCATGGGTCAGAAACCCTGGGGAATTGGGTCCTAAATAGCGTCCTCAGGAAACAAGGTCCACTCCCTCCTCAACCCTTTAGGTCTAATCTCTTTACTTTTGGACCCTGTATGACTTGTTTCCTCAAGGCCCAGACAGTTGAGCCTATCTCTCCATCACCTCCTCAGAAACCCAGTTTCTTCCACAGGCAACAAATGGACAGTCTCTGATATGAAGTCCCCAAAATGAAAAAGGAAGCGAGAAGCAGAGCCCTCCCTCTGAGACCCATGCAGGCGTTTTAATAATGTTCCCGTTGTGCTAAGGGCTAACAATACCGAACATAATCTATTCAAATGCACAGGAGAATCTCACTTTGGAAAATTAGGAATCTGCATTAAAAAATTCCCAAGCCCCGGACCTTCTTTATAATAAATTAGAATTTTTTTTCAAGGCAAGTTCTTAACTTGGCAATTTCATTTTTGAAGTTTGGGGAATAAAGTTATTAAAACGAGGGAGGCTTTTTTCCCTTCCCATTCTAGTAGTGAAGCATTAATGGTTATGGCTCCATGCTATTTGGACATAAGCCAAGTGGTATGACAGCTAAGTGGCATCTAGCCTCCCAGTTCTGTTTCAGCCCATCCTGGGCAGATTCTGTGATTACATGTAAGGACGTCACTCTGTGTTTAATGTGCATTGAAGACTGACTGTATGTTTAGAAAGTGCAAGAGCAACAACCCAGTGGAACCCTCCCTGTGGCCTACTTCCTCCTTCCAGTGGCTTCCTGTTAAATTCTGCCAAAGTAGCAGTGCCCTCTACTGTCCACCTACAGTACCTCGATTCCAGCATGCTGTAGCTGAGTCTTTGATACAGACTGTCAAATATTGCCCTGAAGAGGTATGGGCAAGTTACCAAAATGGTAGAAATTCTGTGATGATTGTTGAATGACAACATTGTCTCCAAGGAGACCTTGATATGAACTAGTTCCTCATTTCAATGCATTGTGACAGTTCCAACATCACTCCTCCTGTTTTTCTGCATCTCTGCCACAGTGGGCCTGGCCATCTGTCACCTGGACTCTCACAGACTCCTCCTCCCACTGCCCCAGCACCTCTGCTGACCCTAAGATCAGCTGACTCTACTATTGCTGTCCTCTCTTGCACCCCAGCAAGGAACACTCCAACCTCCTTTCCAGAATTTTCTTGGTAACACACAACCACCCTGTCACTCCTTCTAGGCAAATGCCTTACATTCATGTACTCTGTCCCCACTTCAGAAATGTCCTTCAAGTCCTCCTGTAACACCCATATGCAATGGCACCCACCAGGCAAAGTTCTGTCTTCTGCAGTTTGGTCAGCAACTCCAGGAAGCTGTCTGGATTCACCAGCGAAGGCAACAGCTTCTCTACTCTCACCTTCCCACACAAACTGAACTCATTGTCAGCATCCCCCTCCCCACTCTTCCTCAAACACAGACACATACCTACTGTTCCACAAATATCTTTGCCCTTGACTTATAGGCAAGACAAATATTTTATCTGGTCTATTGAGTATGTATTCAATGTTTAGTATGCTTCTGTCTGCATGTCCTCAGCATGTCGGCTGCATGAGCATTTGACTAGAAAGCAGAAATCCTAGTGAACTAGGCATATCCCGTATGGATGTGGGCACTCAATTGATAGTTTAGGAACAAACTGATGATAGGGGCAGCTAGGTGCTTTCATAGCATGTCTTGGTGATGGGTGATATTTAAAAGGCTTTGGCAGTTCATCAAGGTGCAGCCTCATTTTTGACCCAAGAGAAGCAAGATAGGCAAAGTCAGAACTTATAATTGAGGACCAGTGTGGGAAGCTGACTTCAGAAGGAAGTCAGGCATTTATTTGCTTGAGTTGGTTTGGCAAAAGCTGCATCCCTCTGCCCCCCTTCATCCTCCAGCAACCCTAGGGGTAACGAGAATGGTGTCCAGAACCCCAGCACACTGTGCTTGGAGATCTGGAGTCAAGACTATACTGTCTCACCGACCATTTAAGAGGAAGACTAAGGCTGAGACCCACTACAT